GCAAGTACCTTCCCTTCCTTCCATACCTTGTGCAATAATGATGTGAGCATATCCGCCGTTGTCTCTGCGTCTCCTCTCAGTGCTTCTGTAGGAATTCCATCTACTCCTACTGCTTTCCCTCATTTCAGTAGCTTTATGGCGTTCAGGACTTCGACTTTTGTTGGAGGATTTGTGTTTACTTGCAGTTCTGTGGCTGCAGGTGGTATTTCTGGACGAAGTGCAGGTGGTGGTTGATTCAAGAGCTACATGAAGTGGTCAGCCCACCGTTTCCTTTGTTTCTCTTCTTTGGTGGTAACTAAGTTTCCTTCACTATCTTTTATCAGTTTCACCTGCATTCACCTCTTCCTGGTTATTTGATACAATGTTGTCAGGTCTCTCCTACTAGCAGCCTGTTCTGCTTCGCATGCCAATGTGTCGTAGTGTCTTTTGTCTTCCCACGCACTCTTCTTCACTTCTTTATCCAGAGTTTTATACGTTGTACTCAGTTCCTCTTATCGTTGTTCATCCTTGCACTGGTCCATCTTCTGCTTCACCATCCTCCTCTCCTTTATCAGCTTCCATGTATCCGTCGAGATCCATTCCTTGTCTTGATTCGTCTTCCTTCCTAATACGGTTGTGCAGGCTTCCTTCCACATAGCTTTCAAAGAATTCCAGTGTTCTTCCACACAGGTTTCTTCTGGGATGTTATGTTGCTCAACGTCTCCCATTTTGTCCTGATCACTGGCTGACATGAAGATGTCATTTGTAGTTTCATCCTTCAGTTCAGTTTCTGTTCTGGGTGTTGAACTTCAACTGTGGTCTATCACCAGCTTCTGTGAAGGCTTTCAACTTGATATTGAAGGCAGGTTCCTTGCACTAGATAGTGAGTGGTGTGAACCTACATCTGCTCCCCTTCTTGATCTGATCTTTTGTCCAGTAGGCTGCATCCCCACTTTCTTCAGATTGAGATAAAGTCGCTCTGAGTTTTAGTGTGTCTATCCAGTGAAATCAAATTCATGTCGCTTTGTGGATATCCTTGTGTTTGAACACAGTGCTTCCAATCACTAAATCGTTGAATGCACAGAATTCTGAAAACAGTTCTCCATTCTCGTTCATTTGACCCAGCGCTTCTTGGCCCATGGTTAGTTCTCTTCCTGTGTTGTCCGCTCCCAGTTTGGCATTCATGTCACCCCACCCATTAGAATTTTGATACCACCGTCTAGGCTGGGGTCTTGTCCAGTGCTGACTGCAGTTCCTCGTAGGATTCCCCCTTCTTCTCTTGATCCGCATTATTTGCAGGTGCACAGCATTGAACGATCGTGACTTTCCTTCCTTTTGAGTTGAACCTTGCTGTTATGATCCTGGAGGAGATTAGCTCCCACTGCATGAGAGCCTTCGATGCTCTTTGGGACATCATGATAGCCACTCGAAAACTCAGTGTGCTCGTGGTTGTCGTCTGGGTGACAATATCGAAGTAGATTACTGACACTCCTCTCCAGTTGACAGTTTGGAGAGTCCACTTCCATTCCATCTACTTTCGCAAATTCCTAGCACTTCAATGCGATACCTTCTCATCTGTTTTGCAATCTGGACAGCCTTGCCAGCCAGCTTCAAACATTGTACGGACATTCCATGTCCCCATTCTCACTTTCGCTTTCATTGAGACATTAGAAGACGTATCGGTCAATTGGGTTCCCGAAGGCTTTCGCCAACCGGCTTCATTTCGTCTCTCCAATTCCGGTGAGGAATAAGTTCCTTTTTATTTTTTATGTAAGTTTAACTTCACACAGATTGATTTACTCCCTGGAAGTCATCTAGTTGGCTTGAAGTATGCAGACAATATTTTCCCGCTAGGTGAAGACGCTGACAAAATGCAGGGTGTTGTGAACACATTGAACAGAAATCTGAGTATATTTGACATGTGTTTCGCTCCCACCTGTCTCATGTAAGATGATATTCCGAAACTTATCTGCAACCACTCCCAGTTTATTGATAGAAAATGAGGTAGTGGAATATATCGACCACTTCACTTAGTTTGGGAGTTGCAGCAACCCAAACAGGCTAGTTGCAGAGGAAATTTCGGCTTGAATACAAAAGACCCATTTAGCATTTGTTAACATGCATCACCTGTAGCACTGAAAGGTGAAATATCTAACTATCCATCGAAGGACGAGTATACTGCACTGTAGTCTATTCTGTCCCGGTTTTACGCCAATGGGACATGGCCGTTGAAAGTAGAAAACATGCAGTGATCATAGGGTTTTGATTACAGATGTCTTCGTAGCACTACTCCCATTTGGTAGAATCACCATGTGAGCAATGTGAGGTCAGGTGAAGGGTACTAGGCAGAGCAAGCAAGTTGATTGATGAGGTTTCGAACCTTCATCGATCGAGATGGCTCGGACATGTACTGAGCATAACAAGCCACCACCTAGCTCGACGTGCCATGCTATGGGAAGTTAGATGAGGTTGGAAGAGGGTACACGGTGGCCAGATAAACCCAGGGGCATCAGTCGATGAAGTCTCTCACTGTTGACTTGAGCTGTGTGGAGAAATATAGACTGTCTGGTTGGGGTCCTCGAGATGAAAGGAATCAGTGATTGAGGACTCTTGGTGATATAGCTGAAAATCGGTCACAATGGCGCGCATGCATTCACTTCTTGACATCTTCTAAAGCTTGAATATTCGCGCTAGCCTTTATCTTCAGATTGTTTATTCTCTCACACAACTTTATCTACTCTGATGTCAGTCATTTTCTATCCAATTTTTCTTTGTGTGCTACTATGGAATGTGACAACTTGAGTCGATGCACTTGTGTGCGAGGTTCTATGTTGACTTTGCCAGCCAGCTTCAAACATTTTGTGGGCATTCCATGTCCCGATGCTTACTTTTTCTCTCATCGAGAGAAGACACATCGTCTACACATTGGCCCCACGCCCGATCTTCACTCTTTACCCGGGTTTAGGACTGGTTAGTAACTAGTGAACTAGTTAACCAGGCGAGGTTAAATCAGCTATAGACTGCCAAAACCTTTTGATGGATTTACTGAAAAATGGTTGACCGCTGATATTTTTAGGCGGTTATAGGAATAGTGTGTTGTTGATTAAATGGAACGAAGTCCTTGATATCCAGCATTTTATTCACACTTAAACATGAAATCTACGTAGACTTAAGAGTTTTAGGCTGAATACACATGTTATGCTAGGTCTCATCTTTGCCACAAAACATTTTGCTAGCTGCTTGTTTACAGCCTAACTATGCTAAAATTTCTGTCGTTTTTCAAAACTTATGCTTCGTTTTACGGATTTTATTTTAGTATTTGATCATGTCATGGTACTTACGCTTTTATATGAAGATAAGATCACGTGAACTAAACTAATGTCCCAACCTTCCAGGCAAGGAAAGTTGATATTAGAGGTCGAAGTAAGAGAAAGTAGATGTCATCTTCAGCTAAGTTTTACATTTCTACGAAATCATATTTGTTGACGATACCTTTCAGTATAAGTAGGCGAAAAGTATTGACGGTACTAACTTGGAATTCCACTCAGATTGCTTTTCGATATTAACCTTTTGAGGAAGTGTATATTTCCAGGTTGGGATCCACGAAGCAGCTTCAATCTTTATTTTATTAAGACACGTGTAAAACTTTAGTGTTTGGTTGAGGACTTTAACTACTGTGCCACAGAGTCGATTTCAGTTGACCTCAAGTACCAAACTTTATTTTGATCTTTAAAAGAAATTTCGAATATTAAATATAGATTAAAACAACATTGTAGGCTTACATTTCTGTTGATGAAATGGAATAATGTAATAAGTAAATAAATATACTCACTGACATTTTCTAACGTAATGTATGTGAAGGGTTTTAAGGTGATAGTTATTGTTCTGATGAATAAAGAAATCGAACTAGCGTAGAGTTTTTGTCGAACGAATACAGTTAACCCAAGAATCAGTAGGAGTGGTTGCTAAAAATAGTTTAAATAGAATGATGAGTGAATGAGACAAGTTTTTGTCTCAGTAATAAATGCAGTAATACGGAGACAATGGTTAGTATGAATGTGGTTGGGTATACAATGTTGGAAAAGGTAGGAGAGTGGAAAAACATTATGTACCAACTCCAAATGGTGTATATTCGGTGTTATGATGTACTTGAAGTTTAAAACAATACAACACAATCGTGCTTCGTATAAAGTGATCTGATCACATCAGATGTGCTGGAAAAGGAAGCAGTTAATTCAGTAGTTAAGATGCACTTTTTATACATTAATTTATTTCCAACTGTTTCTATGAAACCACGACACGTTTCATGCAGTTGGTACTTGCATTAGTAACTGATTATTTTTAATCTCATGAGTCATTATTGTAGGCATCCAATGTTTTTCTGCTTAAGTATGTGTTCTAATTCCGCTTTGTTTGCAGTTGTTTGATCAGCTAGCAGCCATTGATGTGCGTCATGCAGTACATGTCGTTAACAATGTAGTACACAAACCTGTATGTAATCACTGACTTGTATTCGTTATTATTTATTCTTCGTGTGTGGTTGTTTCGCCTGGATATTCGACTATGTACCACTGGGTCACAGGTACAAACTGATATCACTTATTTTGTCCTGAACATTTTAAGAATACTGCTAACTGTGAATCACTGCCTATCACGAAAGCTTTTATCAGGTTACGGAGTTACATTATTTATTCATTGACTAAACCTGGTTATCCAGTAGTTTCTGTCACCTAACGAACTTTAAGATATATCCATCTGCCAAGTGTACGTAAATGGTGTCACATAACTGACTGGATCAAAATAAATGAAGGAGAACATGAATCAGTAATTCGGTAGTAACTTCAGTTTACAATGCATCACTGACCATTTAGTTTGTATGAATAATTATTGCGACCATTGATTATTCATGTAATCACAGCAAGTTCAGTCTTCTTTTATGTTTCGTTATTTTTCTTAAGCGTAAATCACATCTCTCCCCTTTACTAACACGTGTCTTTGCTTCTTTTTGTTATCTGTAAAAGCTATTGTCGATTTGAAGCCATCTAATATGGAGGATTTAATCGAAGTGATTACTTGTGCACGATTTCACCCTGTTCAGTGTAACATACTGGCCTATTCGACTAGTCGAGGTTTGATCCGGCTATGCGATATGCGACAACGAGCTCTATGCGATAATCATGTACTTGGTGAGTAATTTCATAATTTTTAAGAGGTGAATGCAGTAAATTATATTTTCTACACAATTCATTGTGTGACGGAGATTATTTGTAGCTTAGGAGGATAATTTTGATAGCGTTGTGTTCTCTTACCAGGATGGCTTAATCGTGAGAATTCTGGTCCTGAAGCGTCTACCGTATTGTAATTTAAACCTTTTTGAATGGAAGTCCCTCGGATTAAACCATCCAGCTTATAGAACACAACATCGCTGATATCCCAGCCTTCATGTTAGCTGCGATGCATAGCTCATTTTATGTGACTGACACAGTCAACATAGAACCTCGCACACAAGTGCATCGACTCAAGTTGTCACATTCCATAGTAGCACACAAAGAAAAATTGGATAGAAAATGACTGACATCAGAGTAGATAAAGTTGTGTGAGAGAATAAACAATCTGAAGATAAAGGCTAGCGCGAATATTCAAGCTTTAGAAGATGTCAAGAAGTGAATGCATGCGCGCCATTGTGACCGATTTTCAGCTATATCACCAAGAGTCCTCAATCACTGATTCCTTTCATCTCGAGGACCCCAACCAGACAGTCTATATTTCTCCACACAGCTCAAGTCAACAGTGAGAGACTTCATCGACTGATGCCCCTGGGTTTATCTGGCCACCGTGTACCCTCTTCCAACCTCATCTAACTTCCCATAGCATGGCACGTCGAGCTAGGTGGTGGCTTGTTATGCTCAGTACATGTCCGAGCCATCTCGATCGATGAAGGTTCGAAACCTCATCAATCAACTTGCTTGCTCTGCCTAGTACCCTTCACCTGACCTCACATTGCTCACATGGTGATTCTACCAAATGGGAGTAGTGCTACGAAGACATCTGTAATCAAAACCCTATGATCACTGCATGTTTTCTACTTTCAACGGCCATGTCCCATTGGCGTAAAACCGGGACAGAATAGACTACAGTGCAGTATACTCGTCCTTCGATGGATAGTTGGATATTTCACCTTTCAGTGCTACAGGTGATGCATGTTAACAAATGCTAAATGGGTCTTTTGTATTCAAGCCGAAATTTCCTCTGCAACTAGCCTGTTTGGGTTGCTGCAACTCCCAAACTAAGTGAAGTGGTCGATATATTCCACTACCTCATTTTCTATCAATAAACTGGGAGTGGTTGCAGATAAGTTTCGGAATATCATCTTACATGAGACAGGTGGGAGCGAAACACATGTCAAATATACTCAGATTTCTGTTCAATGTGTTCACAACACCCTGCATTTTGTCAGCGTCTTCACCTAGCGGGAAAATATTGTCTGCATACTTCAAGCCAACTAGATGACTTCCAGGGAGTAAATCAATCTGTGTGAAGTTAAACTTACATAAAAAATAAAAAGGAACTTATTCCTCACCGGAATTGGAGAGACGAAATGAAGCCGGTTGGCGAAAGCCTTCGGGAACCCAATTGACCGATACGTCTTCTAATGTCTCAATGAAAGCGAAAGTGAGAATGGGGACATGGAATGTCCGTACAATGTTTGAAGCTGGCTGGCAAGGCTGTCCAGATTGCAAAACAGATGAGAAGGTATCGCATTGAAGTGCTAGGAATTTGCGAAAGTAGATGGAATGGAAGTGGACTCTCCAAACTGTCAACTGGAGAGGAGTGTCAGTAATCTACTTCGATATTGTCACCCAGACGACAACCACGAGCACACTGAGTTTTCGAGTGGCTATCATGATGTCCCAAAGAGCATCGAAGGCTCTCATGCAGTGGGAGCTAATCTCCTCCAGGATCATAACAGCAAGGTTCAACTCAAAAGGAAGGAAAGTCACGATCGTTCAATGCTGTGCACCTGCAAATAATGCGGATCAAGAGAAGAAGGGGGAATCCTACGAGGAACTGCAGTCAGCACTGGACAAGACCCCAGCCTAGACGGTGGTATCAAAATTCTAATGGGTGGGGTGACATGAATGCCAAACTGGGAGCGGACAACACAGGAAGAGAACTAACCATGGGCCAAGAAGCGCTGGGTCAAATGAACGAGAATGGAGAACTGTTTTCAGAATTCTGTGCATTCAACGATTTAGTGATTGGAAGCACTGTGTTCAAACACAAGGATATCCACAAAGCGACATGAATTTGATTTCACTGGATAGACACACTAAAACTCAGAGCGACTTTATCTCAATCTGAAGAAAGTGGGGATGCAGCCTACTGGACAAAAGATCAGATCAAGAAGGGGAGCAGATGTAGGTTCACACCACTCACTATCTAGTGCAAGGAACCTGCCTTCAATATCAAGTTGAAAGCCTTCACAGAAGCTGGTGATAGACCACAGTTGAAGTTCAACACCCAGAACAGAAACTGAACTGAAGGATGAAACTACAAATGACATCTTCATGTCAGCCAGTGATCAGGACAAAATGGGAGACGTTGAGCAACATAACATCCCAGAAGAAACCTGTGTGGAAGAACACTGGAATTCTTTGAAAGCTATGTGGAAGGAAGCCTGCACAACCGTATTAGGAAGGAAGACGAATCAAGACAAGGAATGGATCTCAACGGATACATGGAAGCTGATAAAGGAGAGGAGGATGGTGAAGCAGAAGATGGACCAGTGCAAGGATGAACAACGATAAGAGGAACTGAGTACAACGTATAAAACTCTGGATAAAGAAGTGAAGAAGAGTGCGTGGGAAGACAAAAGACACTACGACACATTGGCATGCGAAGCAGAACAGGCTGCTAGTAGGAGAGACCTGACAACATTGTATCAAATAACCAGGAAGAGGTGAATGCAGGTGAAACTGATAAAAGATAGTGAAGGAAACTTAGTTACCACCAAAGAAGAGAAACAAAGGAAACGGTGGGCTGACCACTTCATGTAGCTCTTGAATCAACCACCACCTGCACTTCGTCCAGAAATACCACCTGCAGCCACAGAACTGCAAGTAAACACAAATCCTCCAACAAAAGTCGAAGTCCTGAACGCCATAAAGCTACTGAAATGAGGGAAAGCAGTAGGAGTAGATGGAATTCCTACAGAAGCACTGAGAGGAGACGCAGAGACAACGGCGGATATGCTCACATCATTATTGCACAAGGTATGGAAGGAAGGGAAGGTACTTGCCTATTGATTGGACGAAGGGCTACCTTGTCAAACTTCCAAAAAAGGGCAACCTAAGCCTTTTCAAGAACTGGCGCGGAATCATGCTGCTGTCCACCCAAAGCAAGCAAAATATTAAGCCGCATCCTCCTTGAGAGACTAAAGGATGCGCTGGATTCAAGAAGTACAAGTCATGTGCGGAACAAATTCCAACCCTACGCCACACATCATCATAGAGCAGAACATATGATGGCAGTCAACCCTCTACCTCAACTTCATCGACTTTGAAAAGGCCGGCCTTTGACAGCGTTGACCGAGAAGTAGTTTGGAAGTTGCTTCAATACTGCGGCTTTAGTGCCACAAGCCTTTATCAATCTCATTCAACAACTATATGCTATATGAAGACGCCACATGCCAAGTAATTCACAATGGGAAGCTCAGTGATGCCTTCGAAGTGAAGTGTACACAGGAGTAAAACAAGGCTGCCACCCACTGTCACCATTGATCTCCCTGATTGTGGTCGACTGGATTATGCAACAAACAGTGAGGAGCGAGAAGAGGGGATACGCTGGATCGGGGAAAATATCCTAGAAGATTTGGATTTCACCGATGATTCATGTTTAATGTCGCACAAACTGGAAGATCTACAGGCAAAAACTAACACGTTGACAGAAGAGGCAGCGAAGACAGGACTTCAAGTGAACGTAGAGAAGATAAAGGTGATGAAGATACTCAACCAACAACAGCATCAACAACAACCACCGATCACCATCAACAGGAGAAACCTAAAGGAAGTAGTCTCCTTTACCTACCTAGACAGCACTGTTTCAACTACAAGTGGCAGCAGAGACGAGGATGTCAAAGCGAGGATCGGAAAGACAGCAAGACAGGCGTTCATTAACCTGAAACCAGTGTGGAGATCTTCTGCTGCACTCAGCATAAAGTGTGGACAAGATCCGGATTTTCAACACCAACGTCAAGTCAGTGTTTCTATATGGTTCAGAGACTTGGTGCGTTACGAAAGCATTTCCAACAAACTACAGATATTCATCACCAACTGCCTACGCTGGCTCAATACTGAAGATCAGATGGATGGCCAGAATAACAAGAATAAGCAACAAGGAATTCTGGTGTGGCAACGAGCCAACCAAGAACCTATCACTCAATAAATCTGCAGAAGGAAGTGGAGATGGATTGGACATACACTGAGAAGGCCGAGTGGGGACATCACGCACCAGGCTAGGCTAGGCCAGGCCAGGCCAGGCCCTCGAGTGGAAGCCAGATGGGAAACGACGAGTTTGGCATCTGAGCCGAGGGTGACACTGAGGAGATCGTGGGAGGAGGAAACGAAAGCTTCTGAGCAGTCATAGAGACAGGTTTAAGAGACTGCTGAGAAGAAAGTGTAATGGCTACTTGATGCTGAAATGCAATGTCCCACTCGGAATCCATATGACAAATAATAAGAAATGATAGGTTTGTGTTCATCTGTACATCACGTTTGATGTCGTGCGTGTTATATCGAAGTCGTCTTAAAACATTAGTGACATATTCGTCAGTTAGCCTATGAGAATCTATGAAATCTCAGCGCAATAATGATGAATGGTCCAAATAACCTAAAATACTGATTAAGGTTGCATCGTACAGCTGTTACGTTTTGATTGGATTTGTATTAGTGTAGTAATTACGTGTATGATTTCGGCTTTTGTGGTAGTCAAATTAAAAATGAGGACTAGAACATTATCGTACTGTATGCTTTTGAGAAGTCATGAGTATAAGATGAGAAAGATAAAACAGTCATAAGTACTTTTTTAGTTCTTTAACCCGATGAAGATTGCACATCCAATGACTATATTAATCCTAGCAGTTCATATTTACGGGCGGAGTTATCTCCTGATTTCTATAACTTGGGACTCTTGTTTTTGACAAGATATTGTTTTGCCGTATGGACAAAAGTTCGTTTAAGTCAGCATCCTTTGTCATGAAAAGTTTGACAATTTTCCTTTTTGGTTGATTGTGTTTGAGTGTGAAAGTAATCCATTATTTATGAGTGGACTGAAAGTTTCGTTTTTCTGACTGATGGCAGCAAAACTAGGTTTAGTGTGGTGCTAAACAACCAAAGTGCATTGATTCGTCACTGCAGACCAACCAACTTTATGTTGTCTAGTCCTGAGTGCTGTTCGAATTCTGTCGATCACTTTGCTAAGAAGCTCATCATCGTGGTGCACTTTCGGTGCACGGTAGCTGGATGGAGACAATAGACAGGAAGCTATTGACCTATATTTCATACTAGTTAACCCCCAATATCTCAGTGGTAACGTCGCTGGGTGGAACACTGGGTGAAATAGGTTTGAACCTTACAAAAGACATTAGTTCTTTTGAGGTTGCAGATGCGCCCTACTTACGAGTCCCAACAAGCACGAAACCTAAGTCTCGAAGTTCCTGCTGACTGCCTTCAGCCAACTAACATTTATCGAAAGTAAACAATCAAAGTAGGCGGAAAATACAATAGTCAGTAACGTGCTTGAGTTTTGTTTCATTCTTCCTTGCCTTCTTTTCATGACTATCTACCAGTTTTTACTATTTCCTTCCTTATTTTTCAACTTTTAATCTTAGTGTCTTGTCACTTATTGTGCTGATGTGGAGTGTGGCAACTTAAGCTGTTACTCAGATCTACTGGATAACAAATTTTGTTTTAAATAAATAAATGATTTGTAGGCTGTTAATTTAATTTTAAATGTTGCTCCTTCTAATGTGTATATAAAAACCAAATATTTTTGTTGTTAATATAATCGCCATTGACACGTAAATGCATGCTACACCCGTTAGCTTTCTTAGGATCGCAATTAGCTGTTTCTTATTTTATATTTTGAATGTCAGGAGCTGTGGTTCAATGGTTAATGGACTATGACTTTCAACTAGTTGGTGAATGCCTGGCAACCTGCTGAAGTACTAAGTTCTGGTTAGAAATGTAGTTTCTCTAGCTGTCATGTAATTGGTATTAGCTGAGTTGAGTGAGAGTGAGTAAGATATGAATACTGAAGTGAGAAAAGTAAAACTGCTACTATAGTTTGTTTTTCCTTGTGTGTTGAATTTGCTCGAGAAACAAAGCTGTGCAATGTTCACCTGTAAAGTAATTGTATTCCAGTTCAAATGTCTAGTGTACAGTGACATTGTTGACAGAAGAGGAAAACAAATAAGAGGTTGTATATATTTTATGATATCTTGTGACGTTAGAATCATATTGAGCGCTTTTAGGACAGGACGATGATTTCGGTGGTTAGGTAATGCAACTTCAACGTTGTTCTTGATAAAGTTTATGTTAGTGTTTATATTCCTTAGTTGATAAAGATAGATAAGTGAATCAATGAGACTTAGATCGTGTATTTCAAATACTTTGACCTGACAACGAACACTTCAATAACAGATGCTGTTCATTAACCAACTAGTTTCCATCGATAAAACTTCAACACAACTCGAAGACTGAACTTTTCTAATAAATATTTCTGTCATGTTATTCTTCTGAACTTGAAGCAGTGTACTAGAAACAAGCAGTATCTTACCAACTAGTGTAATGCATACGGATAAAGAAAATATTTTATCAATGTTTGTGACATCGAGATAAACATGATTATATATCGTATAACTCGAACACAAAAGTTCATTTAAAGCATTTTCTCCATTTTACAACAATTTATTGATGAAATATTCATTGTATTTAGTGTTTGAAGATCCAAGTCTTTCACAAAACCTGGGGTTTTTCGCTGATATTATTGCAAGTCTATCAGATTTTCGTTTTGGTCATACAGGAAATTATCTATTAGCAAGAGATTATCTAACTTTAAAAAGTAAGTTTAATTTTTTTCCTAAAAAATAATGCAATTTCTTTGCTAAACATTCATCAGTTACACACCATTTTTGTTTTTGTGATCATCATTAAAGTCAATATAGGACTAGGCTTTACTTTGTAACGGTCCAAGTTGCCGCACCTCATATCAACACGTCAAGTAACGAGGCAATAAAATAGAAGATGAAGAAAGAAGGAAAAACTGGTCAACAGAAGTAGTAAGTGTTAAAAAAAGAGGAATAAGGAAACGATGAGATCAAGTATAGCGGTTAAGATGAGGACAATGTGTGTATGCATGTGCGCCGCTGACATCGGTTCTCAGCCATATCACCCAGAGTCTCCAACCACTAGTTGCTCTTGTTCCGTGGAACCCAACCAGCTAGTCTGCATCGCCCTATCTGGCTCAAACGAACAGTCAAGGACTTCATGCATTGATGCCATGTTTTAGTCTGCCTGCCCAAGGCTTTTTTCCAGCCTGAACATTCTCCGGCCAACATTGTGCGACGAGGCAGACAGTGGCTAGGTATGCATAACACATGTCCCAACCATCTCAGTCGATGAAGGTTCACAACCGTATCAACTGTCTAACTCCTCCTCCTTAAAACTCTACGCCTGACTTCTGAATTACTCTCGTTGTGAAATCTTGAAACACGGCCTATGGTACGAAGGCAAACATCTAAAGCCTTTTCATGCCTTTTACCTTAAGTGGTCATGTTTCACAGTTATAGAGTAGAACAGAATGGACTGTAGCACAGTACACTCGACCCTTATAGACAGTCATGTATCACGGTGGCACCACAGATAGCGTAAGTTGGCAAAAGCCAACTGAGCCACTAGGACTGATTCGAATTCCCAAATAAATGAAGTGTTCATCGCGTTCGACTACTTCATTCTCTGTTGTTAGTCGGGTTGTCATCGAAGACCATTCCTGGAGCAACGATTCGCACTTGGGTAGCGAGAAGCGCATCCCAAACACTCAAACTGCGACTCAAGGTGTCCAGAAGACTCTGCACTTTGTCAGCGTCTTCACCTAACAGGACTATATCATCTGCGTATTCTGGGTATATCAGGCATTCTCCTATGAATAGGTCCATCCTAGCGTAGTCAGATGTCTAGAGGGAGGCCTCCATAAGAAAATCTATGATAAAGTTGAATAAGAATGGCGAGAGTTGGCGTCCTTGACGGATACTACTCGACGTACACAGCTCATCTAACCTTCAGTAAGGGGATGTATTAACTTGTATTAACCTGTGTTCCAGAATCTGCAGTAAACAAATAACGTAGGGACTATGGTGTTTTCCTTGACCTCCATTAAAAAATGATAACTGGTTAAAGTATTCAGGTAGATCTCTCAGGACTTCTCAGATTTACCGGCAAGTAATCTGAGGTTCTGCTTTGAAATCTCAATAGAAATCTAACCTTTAACTGTCTATTTGACCCTTAAATCATTGGTAATGTTACCTTTTTATTACCGGGTTCAGTTTAAAAGTCTGAAGTGCTACTCAGACTTCCGAATCAACAATTTGTATCATAGTTTCATACTTTGTTAGAATTTGAATTCATTTTTGGCATTAATCTGCATTAAAATGTGTTAAGTTTTACAACGGTAGATCTAGTGGCATTCTATTTAAAGTTATATTTTCTTCTGACTTACTTGTCTAATAACCAAACTTAACTCTCAAAGTGTTTTAACTGAGAACATGTAAAATGATGGGCATTTCATTGCAAGCCTCTACTCAGCCCTCAGTTCGTGTCCCCATCATAGCCAAGGTTTCTTTTCAAACTCTTTTTATGTATCTGTTAGGTTAACCTTTATACTTCGATTCATTTGATGTTATACTTCACTGGAGTTGTTTTAACTAATTACTTAGGGGACGGACCTTTCTATGTTTGAATTCTGCTAAAGTAATAGAATTTCGGTCAGACATACAAACATGCACATGGTCTCCAATAATAAATCAAACTGGACTGGCACCAAAATATATTAAACGACATATAACTTCTATAGCAGTAATAATAATAACATTCATTGTTCTCACCAGGGTTGTTCGTTAAAGGTATTCCAGTTGTGTATCAGAGTATCTTAAGAGAAGTGAGGCCAACTTCTCAACTTGAATTCGTCAGTGTCCATAAATAGTGTGATTCTATGGACTGCGAACTCCTCTGTTCCTGTCTTTGATATTCAATGGGAAACATTTAGTGGAAGTGGTGTGATGCCGTCGTAATGGGTTCACCAAAGTAAAGCAAAATACCATCTGCCCAATAAGTTAATCTCTAATAGGCAAACCATTTATCAATGTGAACTGCAGTCCTTACTAGAACAAGTTGTATAATAGGCATTAACAGTTCTGCTACTTATTCTTTCTGTAAGTCATCCTCGAAACTGTGGTTCACTAGTGTGGATGGTTGGCTTTCAATCATTGGGTTAGGAAGTTTGAACGTCGCCTTACATAGGTCCTCACAATAAGTGTGACTCAGTACTAAGTACAAAAACCTGCATACGGTCGTCAAATTGCATTAGTAATCATAATAAGCCACATGATCCCAAGTACCCATATTTGATTCTCTGCTGTGTTCTCTGTTGTACTTTTCGATAAGAACAGTTTCATTGATGCATACTCCAGCTCTGGAAATGGGGTTATTAATGGTATTCATCCTCTAGAAGGTCATATTTTCACAATGTGTGACCAGAGTTTTCAGTATTTACAACCTTTACTCTTATTGGGCTTTTTGCAATCTATTCGTGACTGATGATCATGACCGTCTTTAGAATAATTCAGAATTGGAGAAAGAAGTGCTTAGGAATCGATTTAAGACTTGGTCATGACACAACTTCACTTAGAGGTTTTCTTTCGGAGCAAACACTACACATGCATAAATAACCGTCATGAGTAACTTTAACGGCCACCCTAGCGACTGCTGAACTGAGTAATCAAGTTTTAGCATTTCAGCTAGTAAGGTAGTCTTTTAAAAAGTACAGAAAGTTGGTTGGTTATTTCAGCAGTTGTTAGGATGGCCCTTAAAGTCAATCAACCAACAGTGGTCTCACTCTGTGTGAGTGGTCATGTGATCACCACTCAGGCAAATCTTCCTCCGAATACGTTTACGATAAATGCAACAGTCGAAAAAGCATTAGGATGAAGTTGTGAAAGAAGATAATAAAATTATTCTTTCCAATACCCTGTTGGTCGGTCACCATGTAATCTTACTGTTTGTTCGGATTCGTAAATGCATCCGTTTATTTGCCCCACCATCTTTTAACATAAATCGAATTTCCTCCTAACGCTGCTACTCATCACACCAACTGATTCAGTTCACTATCGGTTTGTGAGTAAATTTTAAAAGCAATATGAAAATCATATAAGGACCAAAAGGCGCAGGTGGTCTGATCACATTTTAGCCAATACATATGATTCACTGCCAGATCAAGTTCGTGCATCATTGGTTTGCCATCGTTTTCCGTAATACTATATTCAGAGTAACTTTAAAGGCCACCCAAGCAACAGCTGAAATAACCAATCAGACTTCTCCATTATATGAAAATCTATCTTTCCAGCCGAGTCGGTTATTCGGTCGTTGCCCAGGTGGCTTTTAAAGCCATTGCACTATTCATTTCTAAACAGTGACTTTAATGGCCACCCTAGCAACAACTGAAATAACCAACTTGACTTCTACATTTTATGGAAATCCGCCTTTCCAGCCGAAATGAAGAAACCTAATTGGTCATTTCGATCGTTGCTAGAGTGGCCTTTAAAGACCTACCTCCTTAAAGGCCACACCCTAGCAACTGCTTAAATAACCAGTTAGGTTTCGGTATTTCAGTCAAAGCTTTTCACAAAAGAGAAAAACACAATTGGTTATCTTAAGAGATACTAGTGTGACCTTTAAAGTGACTCTGTGACATTTATCAAATAAGTTTAGTCTACACCTTGCAAGCATTGATCTTTTTCTCTTACTTATTTCACTTTTGACTTTAGTTTGGGATATGAGAATGGGCGACCGACCGTGTGAAATATATTCAGTCCACGAACCATTCCGATCACAGCTTTGTATGTTATATGAAAATGATGCTATCTTTGATAAATTCCTATGCGCATGGTCAGATGATGATAGGTAAGGTTGAAAAATGTTGAAGCCTTGTCTTTATTCTTTGAATACATAAATAATATTGAATAAGTAGTAAACATTTCTTTGGTTCACGGAACTTCAGAAAATCATTTTTCTATTTCATTGGAATTTTAAAAATATGTTTACTTTGTTCTAAGTTTATGTTGTGGATTTTTTCAACAGTTGTTTGCCCTTCAAGTGTGAATTTTTGCACTCACAACCTTCGACATCAGTTTATGCATTGTCTCTAATGTACTTTCACAAGATAATGAAGCTAGTTTATGAAGGGATTTGTCAACTGGCATCTTTATTACGGACTGGTCTGTTGATAAATATCTAGTTTACCTAACCTTTGATCTCTGTAGTTGAGGTAGTTCGTTTTCCCACTGTCCATACATTGAAGATTGTATTACAAGGCTGACTGTCATCAATTTATGTTAAGGCTCCATTTGCTTTGACATTAGAATTACCTTCTTCGGAGTGATATTAGTTTCTGAAATGGATTTGATTCTATTTCCACTTATTTAACGAATTCTTAATAATTTCGTCTTTAAAGTTTGTATTTGAGTTAACTTGGCGTCTTTAACCATTTTCATTGAAAGTATTACTATACTTTCTTAGTTCTTTTATTCTCTGTGAACTAAAAGTTTATTATGTTCCATTTTTAATAATGCTTAGTGTTCCTGTATTATTATTATTATTGTTTTTTGTTCCTTGGGTTCCTAGTGGAACATAGGGCTTCAGTAGCATGTCTCCAGTGCACTCTCTTCTCTGCAATCTTTTAAACCTGGCTTCACGACAGCCCACAAGCTTTCATTTCCTCCTCCCACGATCTCCTCAGTGTCACCCTCGGCTCAGATGCCAAACTCGTCGTTTCCCATCTGGCTTCCACTCGAGGGCCTGGCCTGGCCTGGCCTAGCCTAGCCTGGTGCGTGATGTCCCCACTCGGCCTTCTCAGTGTATGTCCAATCCATCTCCACTTCCTTCTGCAGATTTATTGAGTGATAGGTTCTTGGTTGGCTCGTTGCCACACCAGAATTCCTTGTTGCTTATTCTTGTTATTCTGGCCATCCATCTGATCTTCAGTATTGAGCCAGCGTAGGCAGTTGGTGATGAATATCTGTAGTTTGTTGGAAATGCTTTCGTAACGCACCAAGTCTCTAAACCATATAGAAACACTGACTTGACGTTGGTGTTGAAAATCCGGATCTTGTCCACACTTTATGCTGAGTGCAGCAGAAGATCCCCACACTGGTTTCAGGTTAATGAACGCCTGTCTTGCTGTCTTTCCGATCCTCGCTTTGACATCCTCGTCTCTGCTGCCACATGTAGTTGAAACGGTGCTGCCTAGGTAGATGAGAAAGACTACATCGTCTCAAATAAAGTTCAACGGAGCAGCTTTCTCTCGATAAACCAATAAGCAATAAATATTTCAATCATTGATGTAATAGTAAACCTTTGGCATTTTGGAGTACAATTCCACATTAAGTTATTTATTTGACACAAAATTATTTACTCTATGACACTTCGAGCAGAATTGACTGTTCACAACCATATCAAATTAATCATACAACTTCACTTATTCAGTCCAACAGCTCTTCACTCCCTTCTTTTAACAGTCGCAAATTTCTCCAAATATCTGAAATAGGTGATGAGTCATTCGTGTCACATGTGTTAGGTATGATTCAGTGAACAAACATTCTGTAATCAATCTCTCCCTCCACCCAACTGTGTTGTATCTTAGAAAGGTCACGGCATCGCAATCCACAGTTTGATAATGAGTCGGCTAATAGAGAATGATGTTCAAAGCTTTTCTAAATTGTACTCCATTATCCTGACTGACCCGAGTCTGCTCCTTTGACCTGCATACTCGACCTCGTAATCACTACATGGTATTTGATAGATTGTTATTTTGTTGAATTAGATCTACTGGATCTCGTGGCTTACGAAACTTTTTCTCTGAGTGAGTTTGTGGGTATAACCGTAACCCTAATTCCAGGATTGTTGAGAATCTTACATAAAATTTCCCATATGCACTCATTATGTGGTAACACTGCAGTGGATTAGAATTCTACGTAGTCATATTGCAACTACCATTATTATTATTGCTTTCTCTTATGAGTCTGTATGAACTTTCTAATAAACTCCAGAGTGTAAATATTGAATAGTAATGTCTCCTTTATATGTTTGAGTGCCTTATTTAAATATTCCGATTTGCTAGTCATACTCCTAGGTCGATTACTGAAACATTACACCAAGCCTACCTTGACAGATATAGAGTAAGATGTGAAATCCAAGTATCTAATCTAGCTTGTTGGCTTCCTGTAAGCATACGAAGTGCTACATAGTGACCGTCCTAAGATCCAGTGTTGCTAGGTGGAGGGAGAGATTGATCACGAAATCTTTGTTGATGGAATCAACACCTAAGACATGCTACAGACGTGATTTATCTCATATAACAGATATTTTGTGATTTTCATTACCAGTGAAATGAAATAAAAATCTGTTAGACTGTCGAATGAAAGTTGAAAATTCTGTGATTGCTTTGAAATGGTTATCAGCAGTAAATTATACTCGAAACGTCATCGAGTAAATAACGCTGTAGCCAATAAACAACCTAATGGAGACGAATGCCGATCAAGAAACCCCTTCATTATTTAATTCAAGAATAGTTGCTTCTAAAACTACACCAGCCTCATTCCACTGTAAGCGTATACTGAAAATTCCTCATAGTTCGATGTTTACCCTCAGAGTATGAAAGGAAAAAGAGTTTTTAGAGGGTATACCTTTTGTCACGATGATCGAAATGAAGAAAACACTATCAATTCACTCAAAGCCATTAAATTGGCTATTGTATTCATTTGCTCTTTTCTTATGTATAAGGGTAGTATTTTAAGTGATTAAAATCCAGAATCTTATTTGGATAACAGTAACTAACCGATGCATTGTTGTCCTTATTATTACGAGATAGACAAAAATCATCACTTTAACACGGTGACCGTATCTACTTGTCTGGCAAGTAAGTTGGGTATTCATGTACTGTTAATGTAAGAAGAATATGACGTTACCTTTTTAACAAGCTGAATTGTAAGGTAATGGTCTAAACTCTTCCTCTAAGGACATTTACGTTTCACCTTTTATTGATCACGTATTTTCTGTGTTTCGGAACCTTATGAATAGTTGTTTCGGTTAATGCTCTTTATGAATACACCCTATGTGAAGCAAATATATAACGCTAATCAAGGCTGTCTACTCGAAGTCACACAGCCGTGTAAGGGCATACGGAGAGTGATCATGTAAACTGACGACAACTGCTGGTGTCCGCCAGGGATGCTCATTGTCACCATTTCTATTTAACTTCATCATTAACGTACTAATGGACATAACCATAGGTATGTTTGACTTCACACGGATTGATCTACTCCCTGGAGGTCATCTGGTTGACTTGAACGATCCGGACGACATTTTCCTGCTGGGTGAAGACGCTGACAAAATGCAGGGTCTGGTGAACGCGTTTAGCAGAAATCTGAGTATGTTTGACATGTGTTTCGCTCCCACCTGTCTCATGTAAGATGATGTTCCAGAACTGATCTGCAACTACTCTCAGTTTATTGGTGGGGAGTGGAGTGATGGAATATATCGATCACTTCACTTAATTTGGGAGTTGCAGCAACCCAAACAGGCTGTTTGCTGACGAAATCTGAGCTCAGATATAGAAGGGGTGTTTGGCATTTGTTAACATGTGTCATTTGTTATGTCAACTGGCGAGATATCCGACTATGTATCAAAGGATTAGTATACTGCACTGTAGTCTATTCTGTCCCGGTTTTACGCCAATGGGACATGGCCGTTGAAAGTAGAAAACAGGCAGTGATCATAGGGTTTTGATTACAGATGTCTTCGTAGCACTACTCCCATTTGGTAGAATCACTATGTGAGCAATGTGAGGTCAGGTGAAGGGTACTAGGCAGAGCAAGCAAGTTGATTGATGAGGTTTCGAACCTTCATCGATCGAGATGGCTCGGACATGTACTGAGCATAACAAGCCACCACCTAGCTCGACGTGCCATGCTATGGGAAGTTAGATGAGGTTGGAAGAGGGTACACGGTGGCCAGATAAACCCAGGGGCATCAGTCGATGAAGTCTCTCACTGTTGACTTGAGCTGTGTGGAGAAATATAGACTGTCTGGTTGGGGTCCTCGAGATGAAAGGAATCAGTGGTTGAGGACTCTTAGTGATATAGCTGAAAATCGGTCACAATGGCGCGCATGCATTCACTTCTTGACATCTTCTAAAGCTTGAATATTCGCGCTAGCCTTTATCTTCAGATTGTTTATTCTCTCACACAACTTTATCTACTCTGATGTCAGTCATTTTCTATCCAATTTTTCTTTGTGTGCTACTATGGAATGTGACAACTTGAGTCGATGCACTTGTGTGCGAGGTTCTATGTTGACTTTGTCAGTCAATCAGTCAGTCTATGTTGAGAATAAACGAAAGGCGTTGGTCAATTTAATACTAATGTTAGAATTGTTAACAAATCTGTTGTGTTTTGGTAACTAACACCTAGATCCACCTCAGCAAATTCTTCCTGCAGACGGGCAATATCAAGATGGGACCTGGGCTTGTTTGGAATAAAGGGGTTATTATGATTATCATTACTATTATCATTATTATTATCATCGTATGAAGGTCCGAATTGCCATACCTCATATCAATACATCATGCGAGGAGCAATTGAGATGAAATACATAAAATGAAGAAGAAAACATTCAAAAGTGGTAGAAAGTCATTGAAAAAGATTCAGGCGGGTATTAAAATTCCACTTGATGACAGATGGAGATAATGTGTGGACACACCCGCACTACTGATACTGATCGTAGCTATATCACTCCCAAAGTCTTTAATCACTAGTTTTTACTGCTACGCGGACCCTTCAGGGGAAGTCTACTTTTCTGTATATTGCTCAGATCAGCAGTCGAATACTTCAGCGATTCATGCCTCTTATTCTGCTTCAACCTTAACCTACTTCAGCTGATATTGTGCGATGTGATAAACGGTGTCTAGGCAAGTCTGAAACCTTTCTGGTTTTCTTGATTTCGTTATTTCAGAGCTCTGCTTAGATGTCTGGTAATTATAAAACTTAAAATCTTAGACATTATATTCGTCAGGCTCATTCCCCTGCGGTTGTCACAAGAAGAGTTCTAGTCTTTCTTGAAAACTTGGGCAATCAGTGATTAATACCAGTCAGAGGGGATAATATTTGACTGCCATGTACTAACTAACACTTCAGTTAACTTTACCAATAGTCTACTACTGTCCTGAAATATCACTGGTACTAGTCTGTCTGGCCCTGCTTCATTCATCATTTCAGGTTATATGCAGCCTTTTCAACTTCATCAAGAGTTGGAGGCCCTATCTCAGTGCCCCATTCGGAATTTGACTGGTTAACGGCCAACCGAATAATACCTCGAGACCCTTTGAACTGTACAACAAAGTGTTTCACACCTTCTCTCAGTCGTGTTTGGTGTGTATGGATCGTATACCCATCCTTCTCCGCTGTAATCTCACTAATTGTTGACCTTTTTGCCCCAGTTTCCAGCTACCTACTGTTACTTATCTCGGAGACCTTTTCCATCTCTTCAGACTGCGTTGCCCACCAATGTTCACAGTCAGGGTTACGTTATCTTGTCGGTCTACATTTGAGTTGCTTCCACTCCTAACTGTCCTTGAAGCCTCCAGGGATGTGTCCGTGTGCATCAGTTAATCTGGAATAAGTTCCGAGATCCATTTACCCTTTTTAACCACTTTCTGAGATTCGCCTATGGTCTATAACACCATTTTTACAGGAGACTGAAGATGGAGCCTGGCTTCTTCCGGAGCCGAGAAGAGCCTTAGTATTCTCATCATCAAGCTACTCTTGCAATCCTCTTACTACTGTAGTTTTCTTGCGAATTCATCCTACGATAGGCAAAATATCCGTTATTTCGAATGTGTTTTTTTGATGTATAATATTAACAATGGTAGTATGGAGCTATGGGTTAATGGTTTAGGAGAGCAACTTCTAACCAGAGGGTCACGGGCTCAAATCTAGCTCCACTTACTGAGGTACCCAGGCAGTAACACGGGCTTCCACTGAAGAGGTAAAGTGTCATTTTCTTCCCTTCAACACACAAGTGTTTGCTGGGTTACAATAGCATTAGTATCAAAAATATATGACTTTCTCCTAATCGGTGAGGCTTTCGATACCGGTTTTTCTTCAGCCATACTATAGTTTCCGTTACATTCGTAGAAACTGTTGTAAACGAAATTGATATTTGTTATGCTAGTGGCGATATTTTCCCTCCAACTTGAGTATAGTTAGACGGAAATGTCAGATTTACTATAGTAGTTAACTATTTTGGAGCAGTTATTTCTGGCCAATTGAACTCTTATTATTTCTATCGTTGATTTTGTTCTCACTGAATTTTTCAGTCTCTATTAAGCAACACAATTTTAGTGAATATATTCGAATGATGGTTAGCTGTGAATGTCAGTACGTGTTTGGAACGTTGGATCCTCGTTCCTGCTATCAATGTTTAAGCAAACTAACAGTATTACTAGCCCTCGAATTATACATGTGATTCGTTGTTTGGTTCACGTGGTCATTGAACTACGTCTTTTGCTCCACCCAGGAATTAATTTAGGTTGAGTTATTCGCATCAGATAATCGGTAGTATAAGAGTATATATTGAAGAACCATTTGCTAATGCATTTTCAAAATAAATGTGTTGGATTTCTTTATGAAGTGTCTATAAGCACAACCAAACATCTTGCAGTCAAAACATTTTGTTTTACTTACCTAGCATTAACATTTTTTCTCTGTGTATATACAGATATGCAGTTACTGGATCCTATGACAATCTATTTCATATCTTCGATCGACATAGTGGTTCCGATTGGTTGTATGACCTTCAAGATTCAAGTATGTTGTGCAATACAAATCCAACAGACGGCAGTCCCAATTACCTATCGCCTAAACGTTTCTTGTCTCCTGATGATCCTGTTGGGATTCAGTTAGGCTTATCTTCCATCTTTGTAGCACCACTGGACGCATTGGATACCCTTTTCCCAGATGTAACCAATCAGACTAGTTCACATAGCAGTTGTAGTGATAATAATGATTGTAATAAGTTTGATGACAGTCCAAACTCCTCACATTTTTCACAGGGGAAAATAAAGTTGTCTGATTGCCAAACATCGGATTTTCTGAACCCGTCTGTAAACCCTCTGACTTCTCTTCCTCCAACAGGTTCAAAACGTCGAAAACAAGTTCTTCCTTCTCGCACTAGTGATTCGACTGATTCTAATGGTAATTCTCAAAGTGAACGTGACCATTTACATGGTCGTCCCAGTAAAGGCAAGCATCGCCATGGTCAAAAACATTCTTCACATGATGTATTAGGAAGATATGAGAATGGTTTCAGTAAACTTCCAAACGTGAATGAGGATTTTGAGTCACAGAGTATCATGCTAAATTCACCTCCGCGTAAAAATACACCTATTGAAGATTTTCTGTCTGGTGCAATGATTATTCCTGGGATGCATCAAATCAATTGTCAGCGTAAAATACTTCATTTATCTTGGCATCCAAAGAAATTACTCACTGTCGCTATATCAGGCAATCGATTGTTTCTAATTGCTGGCCAATCTGCAACCAACAATGCACAAGGAGATTTGAATGTTTGCTCTTCCCACATGTCTAAATCAACCGATGATGATAACGATATACCTATTGAACTTACTACAACCTTCAATACAAGATCTGATTCTGTAGAAGATTCTGATCAAATACCGTCTAGTTTAATTCAGAATTTCGACGTCAAAGCCGCTAAACGCCGTCGCCGACGTCATCACCAACCTGATACTCCAAATTCAGTTAATTCATTCTCAAGTGTAATAACAAGTGATAAAGATATTCACATTTCCAATATTGATATTCTTCCTGATTCAGCTTTTCTTTGTGGAATGGATTATACAGCCAATTACGAGGCTGATCGAGAAGATAATGATGAAGAACAGCGTACTACTGAAACCCCACTTACCTCTTTGAGCTCTGATTCAAATCCGGAAAAGGTTCCATGTATAGATTCTTTATTTCCTTTATCTAGTGAGGCATTTTCAACTAATCTGGACAGTGTTCTACAATGACTATGTATTTCTTCTCATTTCAATTCTTCCCATCTGACACCCTTCCAAGTGTTTATTATTATCACTACTATCTCATCTCAGGGGTTGAACTGTGTATATCCACTATCACCTTTTACATTATCTAAAAAGAGTTTATATTGTTTTAATACGTAAACACTATATTTCCATGTGCATGAAAACTCCTCCCACTATTTCTGTTGTTTATCACCTATTATGACTTGCTTGATTTACAGTACTTGTATAAAGATCATTTCCAACTGTTCAACTTGTCTTATACAAAAAGCTGATTACATTTTGCTGTCAATTTATGCGTGCCTTCAAATTAGAAAAGAAAAAAAACTATTTTGACTGAATTTGAAGTACTGTAAATTGACGACTCGCAAAAAAGTTACACAAACTTGTATGCCATTCCAAAGTATGATATTTTCATTCTGTTTTGATTCAACTCTGTGACTGGTTATTGAGACGTGACTTTTGCATTCGAACACTGAATTTTTAGTTTAGAGTATGCAATTTAGATTCTGCTCTGTGTAATGGCTAACCAGTATACATATGATTGTTGAATTGCATGACTTCTGGTTATATAAAGCCATGAAATAACTGGCTTTTCATCGAAGTAATAAGTAGTAGAGCATATCAAAAAGGGATGCTCGGTAAAGTTGTATACGAATGATGATGTACTCTTCAATTTTCATTCTAGGAAATTTTTATTTTTAAGCGTCTTGTATATCTCAACGGTGTGGTGTCGCAAACACCCAAACGTATAATTGTTCTTACTTAAGCGATGCACACAGTATACGATATCTACTTGAACTGTCGAATAAGTAAGTATGGTTGTGATTTAAAGTAGAAAGTATTGTGAACTCCACTGTTAAATCACTTTTGAACTGTCAGTTTTACTTCATTTATTGCTATGATACTCACCTGTGGGTAGTTAAGTTATGTCGTCTATACAAGTTGTGTTTTTTTCATTCTAGTATCCCTTTTCAGTCTTGTTGAAGATTCTTGGTGCTTTTTGTAGTTTTGCGATTCTACTGAACTAGTTTAGGACTCCTTTGTAGATCGCATCTAAGATATGATGTGAGATCAAATCCAGAATGGTTAGATCTAATGATGAACAAGTTCTCATGCGTCATAATCATAGATGGCGAGTATAATAATGTTGACAATATTCATACACCGATAAATTTAAGTGATGCGTGAATATCAGGATAGTGTATCTTGTTACTTTGCTTAGAGTTTCATGTCCACCATCAGTGAACAGATCTTAGTTTAATTTATAGATAATCAAGTAAACACTCAACAAAATATGAGGTGTAATATACTCCTGTGCAATGTGAGTAATTGGAAACCATTGATGTTGATCTGCAGATTTCTTTAGATAGGTCACAGCCATCTAAGCGTCGGATGACCCTTCCTCTCGTTTTTGACCGAGCTCATCAGCCGTGTATTTGGACAAATCTAGCGCACAGAGCCAAATCGTTCAAACCAACTCAAGTGGACAAAAACTGGAAGCGATTCGAAAATGTAGTAAGGAATCGATTACTGTAACTTTGCAAGTATGAACGTCAAGTTTTAACCTTCTAACTGAAATGCCTTCCGTTAATCTAGACAAGTCTTTGTCATTGTTTATGGACTGTTTCCGTTTTTGTGTTTTGAACTGGGTGTTATGGAAGTGAAGTGGGACCAAGATGTTGATACCATTCTTTCATTTAGCTTTTACTATCATATTTTGTAAAACAAATGATCATATGTAATAGATAACGGTATTATAATTAACTATTGTAGGATTCTGGAGAATTGAACTATGCAACCAAATAACATAATTTTTTATCTTCCTATTGCACCGTCTTTCGTTTAAATAGACTGACAGCTCCAATTGACATGAAGAAAGTTTATATCATCTTAATTTAAAGTTACTGAACACTGGTTTTTAAGTAGGACTGGAATTCTGCTGAATAACCTCGAAAATCACCTAACCGTCTAGTGGCATATATTTGAGTGTAGCAGAGACCATTATTGTCGAGTTGAAAATCACAAAACAGGCTTTATTGACTTCTGTGTATTAAACTTAAGCCATTTAAGAAGCCTTCCTATGGAAGATTAAATTCTGATCACTAAAGTGGCTTTTAGAAGTTAAAAGGTAGTCTATTTGTGATGATTTGCAAAATACCTCCAAACTCTGTTGTTTCGTAGTTAAAATGCGACGAAACGATCTTCGATAGCAGATGCATTCCATAAAGTTGTATGAGAGAATAAACAATCTGAAGATAAAGGCTAGCGCGAATATTCAAGCTTTAGAAGATGTCAAGAAGTGAATGCATGCGCGCCATTGTGACCGATTTTCAGCTATATCACCAAGAGTCCTCAATCACTGATTCCTTTCATCTCGAGGACCCCAACCAGACAGTCTATATTTCTCCACACAGCTCAAGTCAACAGTGAGAGACTTCATCGACTGATGCCCCTGGGTTTATCTGGCCACCGTATACCCTCTTCCAACCTCATCTAACTTCCCATAGCATGGCACGTCGAGCTAGGTGGTGGCTTGTTATGCTCAGTACATGTCCGAGCCATCTCGATCGATGAAGGTTCGAAACCTCATCAATCAACTTGCTTGCTCTGCCTAGTACCCTTCACCTGACCTCACATTGCTCACATGGTGATTCTACCAAATGGGAGTAGTGCTACGAAGACATCTGTAATCAAAACCCTATGATCACTGCATGTTTTCTACTTTCAACGGCCATGTCCCATTGGCGTAAAACCGGGACAGAATAGACTACAGTGCAGTATACTCGTCCTTCGATGGATAGTTGGATATTTCACCTTTCAGTGCTACAGGTGATGCATGTTAACAAATGCTAAATGGGTCTTTTGTATTCAAGCCGAAATTTCCTCTGCAACTAGCCCGTTTGGGTTGCTGCAACTCCCAAATTAAGTGAAGTGGTCGATATATTCCACTACCTCATTTTCTATCAATAAACTGGGAGTGGTTGCAGATAAGTTTCGGAATATCATCTTACATGAGACAGGTGGGAGCGAAACACATGTCAAATATACTCAGATTTCTGTTCAATGTGTTCACAACGCCCTGCATTTTGTCAGCGTCTTCACCTAGCGGGAAAATATTGTCTGCATACTTCAAGCCAACTAGATGACTTCCAGGGAGTAAATCAATCTGTGTGAAGTTAAACTTACATAAAAAATAAAAAGGAACTTATTCCTCACCGGAATTGGAGAGACGAAATGAAGCCGGTTGGTGAAAGCCTTCGGGAACCCAATTGACCGATACGTCTTCTAATGGTGATTCTACCAAATGGGAGTAGTGCTACGAAGACATCTGTAATCAAAACCCTATGATCACTGCATGTTTTCTACTTTCAACGGCCATGTCCCATTGGCGTAAAACCGGGACAGAATAGACTACAGTGCAGTATACTCGTCCTTCGATGGATAGTTGGATATTTCACCTTTCAGTGCTACAGGTGATGCATGTTAACAAATGCTAAATGGGTCTTTTGTATTCAAGCCGAAATTTCCTCTGCAACTAGCCCGTTTGGGTTGCTGCAACTCCCAAACTAAGTGAAGTGGTCGATATATTCCACTACCTCATTTTCTATCAATAAACTGGGAGTGGTTGCAGATAAGTTTCGGAATATCATCTTACATGAGACAGGTGGGAGCGAAACACATGTCAAATATACTCAGATTTCTGTTCAATGTGTTCACAACGCCCTGCATTTTGTCAGCGTCTTCACCTAGCGGGAAAATATTGTCTGCATACTTCAAGCCAACTAGATGACTTCCAGGGAGTAAATCAATCTGTGTGAAGTTAAACTTACATAAAAAATAAAAAGGAACTTATTCCTCACCGGAATTGGAGAGACGAAATGAAGCCGGTTGGTGAAAGCCTTCGGGAACCCAATTGACCGATACGTCTTCTAATGGTGATTCTACCAAATGGGAGTAGTGCTACGAAGACATCTGTAATCAAAACCCTATGATCACTGCATGTTTTCTACTTTCAACGGCCATGTCCCATTGGCGTAAAACCGGGACAGAATAGACTACAGTGCAGTATACTCGTCCTTCGATGGATAGTTGGATATTTCACCTTTCAGTGCTACAGGTGATGCATGTTAACAAATGCTAAATGGGTCTTTTGTATTCAAGCCGAAATTTCCTCTGCAACTAGCCCGTTTGGGTTGCTGCAACTCCCAAATTAAGTGAAGTGGTCGATATATTCCACTACCTCATTTTCTATCAATAAACTGGGAGTGGTTGCAGATAAGTTTCGGAATATCATCTTACATGAGACAGGTGGGAGCGAAACACATGTCAAATATACTCAGATTTCTGTTCAATGTGTTCACAACGCCCTGCATTTTGTCAGCGTCTTCACCTAGCGGGAAAATATTGTCTGCATACTTCAAGCCAACTAGATGACTTCCAGGGAGTAAATCAATCTGTGTGAAGTTAAACTTACATAAAAAATAAAAAGGAACTTATTCCTCACCGGAATTGGAGAGACGAAATGAAGCCGGTTGGTGAAAGCCTTCGGGAACCCAATTGACCGATACGTCTTCTAATGGTGATTCTACCAAATGGGAGTAGTGCTACGAAGACATCTGTAATCAAAACCCTATGATCACTGCATGTTTTCTACTTTCAACGGCCATGTCCCATTGGCGTAAAACCGGGACAGAATAGACTACAGTGCAGTATACTAATCCTTTGATACATAGTCGGATATCTCGCCAGTTGACATAACAAATGACACATGTTAACAAATGCCAAACACCCCTTCCGTGTCTGAGCTCAGATTTCGTCAGCAAACGGCCTGTTTGGGTTGCTGCAACTCCCAAATTAAGTGAAGTGGTCGATATATTCCATCACTCCACTCCCCACCAATAAACTGAGAGTAGTTGCAGATCAGTTCTGGAACATCATCTTACATGAGACAGGTGGGAGCGAAACACATGTCAAACATACTCAGATTTCTGCTAAACGCGTTCACCAGACCCTACATTTTGTCAGCGTCTTCACCCAGCAAGAAAATGTCGTCCGGATCGTTCAAGTCAACCAGATGACCTCCAGGGAGTAGATCAATCCGTGTGAAGTCAAACATACCTATGGTTATGTCCATTAGTACGTTAATGATGAAGTTAAATAGAAATGGTGACAATGAGCATCCCTGGCGGACACCAGCAGTTGTCGTCAGTTCACATGATCACTCTCCGTATGCCCTTACACGGCTGTGTGACTTCGAGTAGAGAGCTTAGATTGGCGTTTATACTTGGTCGGTCCTCCCTTCACAGCCGGACATCGCCAGAACACTATACGTTGGATATATTCGGAAAATATGCCAAGTTTTGGTGCAAAGTAATATTGGAGCGTGTTGAATAATCTGGATGCCTAACCGTATTTCTTCAGTTTCTCAAGTCCGTTGAAACCATGAAAGTTAGCGTCAGTGTTAAATTTTGATGAAGCGTAAGACATCATTTGTTTGGAAGTTATTTCCCTATCTACAGTTCTTTTCAACAGCATGTGTGCACGCAAGTATTAGGTTTGCAATTGATTTCGAGGGGAAATATAATGAATATCTGGATAGTAGTCCATCATCCGCAATAAAATTTGATCACGCTGTTATCTCCATCCTCTAGTTTAACTTTTTACGCGAAACTTGAGTTAGTTCACAAACAATATCATAGAAAACAAAACCTAATATTCCACGATTTAAAATTTAAACGGAAGTGATGTAAGACGTCAGCGACCTATCGACATAGTTATCTGCACCATCAATAATCATCCAGTTTTTGCTTCATGGTCAAGACAGAAATTATCTTTCTGATTAGCGCACAAACATCACAGTAAAAATTTACCAGTTAACAATCGCGGACCTAATGCGGCCTTCGATTTTCATATTGTTACAAAAAGTGATAAACTTTTCTAATATTGATGTTCCTT